TTAATTTCTTTATCTTGCACAGTGATCAGAAAAATAGAAACACATTTGGTGTAATGCAGTACAGTTCAATAGCCATGCTAATAATGCTAGCTTGTTTTGTTGAGACTATACAGCTTTAGACATTTGTGTATTGACTCTACCTGAGGATGTACTTTATGCTGTTGTTGTACTGAACTGGACTATACTGGAAAGTGTTTCGTACTTTTGGGACTTTATAGTACTTTTGTATTGGGTTGCACTACATTATACAGGGATTTGCATTTTTCTGGTCACTCAAAAGGTAAACTATATTTTGAAACTAAATTTGATTACACAAGATACCAAATGACAGTTTTCCCTATCACGGGTCACATTTGAGGCTATGTTGTTTACAGCTGGTGGCCAAACACAAACAGTGACAGCTTGAGGGACAGACACACACCACACAGACTTGAAGTGAGATGCATATTAAGGAATCTGTTGTGTTTTGCTGTCTTTGTGTGTTCTGACTCCATTATCAGTCCACATCAATTAAATAAGATACTCAACAATATTTGACCTAGTGCAATCAAAGCACAGAAGTAAGTAATAAAACCAGGTTACATTTCAACAGGCCCAATCACCTCAGCAAATTCAGTGTGATCTGATCCAAATGTTCTTAAAAAGTAAACAAGCACACTTGCATCTGACCACTCTTGCCTTGTTTAGCCTCTTAATTTCACATCATCAGAAGTATGTGAGGAGTTATAATTAAAGTACTGTACAAACAGCATGACTGGGGCATGTCATAGTTAACCTCCACAACAATTACTACTCAGTCGCGGTTGTTTTGAGTGACTCTCCTCTTCTGGCACGTAATGCTCTTTTGTGGCTGAATCATAATTCGGGGGCATCCTTCTTTCCTAAGACAGAACCATCTAAGCCTTTTTCGTATCTTTCTGTCTGGTTGCAGCGCGCCGGAAACAGACCATAATCGTCTCTGAAAGAGCCAGTCAGGAAACGAGCTGTGCGATCTTCTTTTACTCTCCTCCGCTCCTCCACAGAGCCCAGTCATCATTACCGGGCACCGTGCCTTCACTCGCCCCCCTCTCCTTGCCCCTCCCGTCAGTGTTTCTACTTTCAGTCTTTCGCCCTCCCTCTTGTTTCTATGTGCGTCGAGAAAGTCTCCTCCTCTCGCCGAGTTTGGGCGCAACCGCCCTTTACGCGCGTACAGGCTCTCCAAGAGAATCCCCTACGGTCGCCCCTCCCCTTTCCGTTTCTTACCGCCTTCACTCATTCATGACCCTGGATCGATGACGTAGGAGATTCCACGGTGCCCACTGCCGTAGGCAATAACAGGATGCTTGAGTATATATGGGCCACTGGTAGCCATCAACCGACACACTCTCAGTCGCTCCGACTCGGGAACCAGGGCATCAGCGGAGATAGCAGGCTTTACTTCGGCGTCTTAGGCTAACTCGCTTTGGGCTTTGGTTCAGGATGGAAACCTTTTCGACTTCTCGGAGCCGACGATGCTCCATTACGCGTAGCTGCAAAAGTAAGTTTCTCTCTTTCTTCTTTTGGTTTTGTACACTCCATGGATTCTTCAGACACAGCTAATGCTGCTTTTCATTAAAACTTGGGCAACAATTTCAAAGTTTTTATTCAAAGAACTCTCGATGCACTTTGGTATATTAAATGTAACATCGAAAATGGATATACATTTGGATGTGTGATACAATGCAAAACCGTAGGGAAACTCAGAAGTTCTGTCAAACAGTTAGTGTATTATTTGTAATAGTCAGAATGCATGTGCAGGATGGGAAGTGGAATAAAATAAGAACTTTTGCTTAACTTTACGAAATAACTGTCATGTTTTGACTAAACATTTTTGTGATTATGCTGTGCGTAATGCCCGATACAAGTCTAGTGCTGAGGTGCAAACTTCATTTATTGTGAAAAGATAAAACTGTATCTGTTCATCCTGTTATTCTAGATGCACTTCATGCTAAAATGAGAGACACTAATAGCATATACATTTGTTTTAGGTACAATGTAAATATCGAGCCGTTTGGGCTCTGAATGCTGCTGTACACTGCTGGTAACAGAGGAGTTCAGCACCACGGCCAGCTCCCGCTCACCTCTCTCTCTCTCTCTCTCTCTTTGCTCTCCTCCAGGCGGTCTCTCCCTCTGGCTGGTGGTGTGGATGGTCCTCGGCACG